TTCCCGCGAGCTTTGCGTCTTCGACCTCAAGAACTCAGGGCCACAGCTTGAGCTCAGATCATGGCCCATCTACTTATCTGGCTATTGCCGAGATGCGCGGGACGTCTGATATGCGGAACGCCCTGATCTTTCCGATCAAACACGCTCACGGCAACTGGGCAATATTGCCGAAGTGGCACCTCAAACTCCCACGAGTTTTCGGAGTCGGGATATTCCCGCCACTTCACCAGATATTGGGCTTGACCCTGGCGACGACGTCGTCCCACAAGACGTTCCACGTGATAGTGGGCGTCACCGCTCTCATCGAGAAGAGTCGGTGGCGGGCGGTGACGACCGGGTCGACCGCCGTGCGGTGACTCGTGATGCTCTTCGAGCCCTTGAGGACGAGGTCCTTCGTGATCGGAGCTTCGCTGAGCGTCTTGCTGAAGTAGCATATCGCTGTGCCGAAGCTCTTGACGATTTAAAGCACGTCGTGCGCCGGCTGCCTCGCCTTGAGGACTACCGCTCTCTGTCGGAGCGACTTCTACCCGTCGAGCAGGCAAATGCATCGCTGCAGGCAACGGGTGAAGCGCTTGGCTCCATTAAAAATGGAGGTTGTTGCACTCCGTGCTCAGAACCAGTTGCTGGTTCAACTTCTGGAAGGCCGCGGGTACTTGGAGTCCGCTCCGGCGCCAACGCTTCCGCGTTCACTTGCGCCGGATCCCGGTACGGCTTGAGCAAGCCCATGTAAAACACCGGGTGCGTGCGCATCCATTTCGGAAGGTTCAGGGTGTACACCAGGCCCCGTTTAGCCACAACCTTGAACGGTCCGATAAACCGTGGACGAAGCTTCGTCCGGAAGATAGCAGAGGCTACTTGTGTTGGCAGGTTTTTCTAATTCAATGAAACCGAATCCCCGACCTTAGAGCTTTCCACTTTGCCTCTTCCTTTTCATCTTAGAAGTCACTTACTTCTTTGCGGATGGTGAGGGGGCTGACATCAGCTAGCCGTTCGGCTATTCCCCCGACCAAGCCATGGGCCATATGACATAGTATTGACTGATTGGTGTTGCTAAATGCCTGTGTCAGTACTCGGGGAGAAGAAGCAGCGACCTCAAATTGACAGAGATACGAGATTGTATGCGCTCAAAACTCATAATTACCAGTCTTTTTTATCGAGAACAAACAAAGTAACAGAACTTTAATCACCGCAATTGCGTCAGTTCCTATGCGGGGGCGTTAAAACTTACTATTTTCGTGTATCGCTACGTCCACCATACATCTGCTGCTAAAGCGGTTGGTTTCACATCAAATGCGAATTCAACTTCCCTGCCCATTGGTCGTATCGGATATCGTAAGTAAGAGCTCTACGAGCGCACTTCATGTGATTTCTCTTAGGCATTCAGAGAAATGAGACGTTTTCGCTGACGAGCAGCTACGTAGTACTTTATCGGTGAGTATACTAAACGACTATGTGGCTCTTGACCAACTTCGATGTAATCGCAACTCACATATGTGTGATTTGTGACAGTGATAAACATCCGCGCCTTGCGTGGCCACTTTGCTCTGAATAGAGTTTCAGGCTTACACGTAAGGTCATGCGGGAAATCTTTGCAGAAAATGTCAAGTTCCAGTAAGTACAGAACAGCCTACTGGGAAGCGTTGGATTCTCCAATGCGTTTCGGACATCGTTGTTATTGAAACCGGTTCACAAATCAGCAATTTTCTCAGAGAGAGGTGTAAATTACAGGTTTGGAATGTTTGTTGTACGTTGACGTCGGGATATAAGATGCTGTGAAAATTTCTGGTAGATTCGGGAGTAGCGTGCATTCACGTACATCGCGCGACTGTTATAAATGGATTGGTGGAAGGGAAGGCATTGAAGATGCCAAATTTATTTACCAGTGCGATTTGCGACGAAGACCCACGTGAAATTATCAAAATTTGATGCTGAAACTTCAAGCAAAGTTTGAATTCAAAACAATGCTGCGTCTTAGACCTGAACATGATTGATGATCTCAGCCCTGGTTCAGCGTGGCTAGAACGCCATTAATCATGGACCGACTGCAGGTCGAACAAACTTGGCGCCTTGTACCCTACTTCTAGCGGAACTTTGATGCGTGATAAGCTCTTCTCTTCAAGAAGGCAGACATGCTGTTATCTTGGTAACGAGACTACGTTAAATGTCTGTGAGGTGGTGCGAACACCTGCAATAAATGTCGCTAGAATATTTATAAGCTGGGTACGCCTCTTCTACAAATGGAATGCTTGTTCTCGCGCGCGGCCTCCTAAACGTGCAACGCGCTGTCGCAAACACTGCCGAGTTTATGGTCACTGCAACTAATCTATCCCAGCTTCTTCATCTAAATTGTTTATAACTAAACAAATTTGGGCTGGGTTCGCAGACAATAAATGTACAGTTCATTAACAAGGCGTCGTTCCACTATTGTCCCACGGATTTGCGCAAAAAGCAGAAGTATCAAAATTCATCACAATAATGAGTAATATAATGAGCATGACATACGTGATCTGTATGCGTCATGCTATGAAGCAGGTTAGGTTTTTATCATCGAAGATTGTAGAAAAAAAGTATTCAGCATCAAAATGTTAGGCTAAACTCCTATTGATGTCACTCTTGAAATTAATGCGCCATAAATTTATGAGGCTCTCGGGTTGTTCTGACTACAAACTATCCTATTTGAGTTATTTGGAAGAACCTCTGCACGTAATGGTATTCGGACTAACGATTTTGTCAAACACATAAACCCTGCGATATATATGTGAAAGCTGTTAGATGCAAAAAGAGCAGCAGAAAGTACCAAAAATGTATGCGCAGCTTGAACACTTTGACCCCAATGTTATTCTACGATGTCCAATAGAATTTACATATGGCATGTATTACTTTCTGAAGACAGCTGGATAGATGTTCTTAGCGCATATCACCCTTCCAATGGTCTGCACAGACCATTTCTGTAGTGAAATCCAGACAAAAATAAATGGAGCACAATCTACTATGAAGCATGCTGCTATGTGAGAGAAGTATTCAGTTGCTCTCGTTAGCGCTATTATACAAACAGCCAGACAGCGAACCAGTGCAGACCTTTTTCTGCTCGAGTCTCCTACGACACAGTCCACGTTTAATTCATTATTTGTAAAATTCCTTAACGCCCAAAACCTTCTTGACCTTCATGGATGGAAAAAAAAAGATAGCGACTTCTGAAACTCGTTAAATTTCGTGAATTCAAGTCAATGAAAATAATTAGCGAAGCAAAATGGTTTGCAGTCGTCCCTTGTTAACAATGACGGGCTGGTTTTGTTAAGCCGAGCTCAAGATTTTGGCCTCATTTATTTAAGCTGCATATCTTTGAAAGAAGAGTATCTCATTTGCCCAAAAACAGCTCTCTTAATTCGGAAATTGGCGGTCTGCACTAAGCATTGCAGCATTTTCCTGTTAACACTCAAGCATGCGTGTTACGTGCATTCCTGAGCTTTTACTTGTGACATCGTGCGAAATCATTCATGGCGCGCTTCCAGCCATAGTTGTGAAGCAAAGCGGTGACTCGAGTGAACGTTTGCCAGACGCTGCCGGAGGAGTGGCTGAAGCTGATACGACACAATTTCTGAGACGTCTTAAGTCTGCCTCTATTATTAACAATTTTATAACGAAAATTTCGACTCGAAGAAGACGAAGCCAAGATAAATCCCAAAATTTTTAATCCCATGCCTTCAAGATTCGGGCAGGAGGAATCTATCGAGGAACCTATCAAGCTACCTCTCAAGCAACCTATCAAGCAACCTCTCAAGAGAGTGGATAGTAGAAAAAAACCAAGAATCAATTCTCCAAATTATTGAGAATAATGAATCTGTATGAGAATTAATAAAATGTCAATATTCTCTTCATTAGTCAGGCTGTTTCATGAATAGAAGGCATAAGCTAGCAAATGTAACACGAATATACCAACTACTTTAGTCCAAGTGCAGGCCAAGAGGCATCGAAAGAGCTTGCGTGGCAATGCGCACAGCACCAATAGCAAACACCTCACGGCGAGTGGCCTGATGTTTAATCTCAATGCGCTCGCCTGGTCCAGCAAACAGCACAGTGTGTTGGCCAATCTCGTCACCTAGACGCAAAGAGTGCGTCGGAGCTTGACCGGTCTCGCCCAGACATGGAGCGCCAGTGGCAGCCAACGACTTGACAAGTGTCTTGGCCGTGCCGCTAGGAGCATCAAGTTTTTTAGTGTGATGAATTTCCGTCACTTCGACGTTCCATCCTTCAGCGGGAAGCTTGAAAGCTGCCGTTTTGAGGAGTTCAGCCACAAGTGGCACACCCACGGAAAAGTTTGAGCGTAAGGCAACAGGCGCGTGCTTAGAATACGCTTCCAAGTCCTCCATAGGAAGTGATCCCGTGGTGCCAACAACCAGCGCGGGTAGTTTTTGTAGCGTACCCGCGTCTTTTTGTTCGGTTAAGAACGAAATTAATGATTTGGTGCCAGCAGGCAGCGTCACATCAACGATGACGTCGACGTGATTCAAATCTAAAGCTTGACTTTTGGTGTTCAGCCGAGTAATTATTGGACCAGCAAAGCTCGCGCTATTGTCTGTGAGCTTATTCAACTCAGCCACAATAAGTGATCCAAGGCGGCCATTGTGGCCGTGCACGGCTACTCGCACTCCTTCGCCTTTACTCTTCTTGTCATCCGAAAGTGGCTTTTGTTGTTCCGCAAATACTTTCTGATAGTCACGAATGGCATCTGCAAGACGACGAGCACCGAGCTGCATGTCAGGCAAATCGTACCAAGAAAAACTGAGACGTAAGTAATTTTTCATGTTGCTGCTGAATGAAGCGCCAGGCAAAAACATGACTTTGTGCTTCTGAGCAATCGGCAGTAAGTCGTTAGCATTCATGCCCTCGGGCAGACGAACTAGAACAAAGTAGCCACCATCTGGGACCTCAAAGGATACGCCTGCAGGCAGGCAGGTCTTCAGCTCTTTCATCAGAGCATCAGCACGACCCCAAAGTGTCTGCACTGTCGTGTCAAGATGCTGTTGTTGAAGACCTGAAGCTACGGCAGCGTGTACAATTCCCGAAATGACTGGACTAATCCCCCCACTAGAGTCAAGTTGACCACATCCTTCAATCTTGCTCAGCAGCTTGTGCGAGCCCTGGATCCAGCCCAAACGAAGCGCAGGTGCGAGAATCTTAGAAAAACTGCCTAGTGCGAGCACCGTGTCGTGTGTATCGAAGGTAAACATGGGTGGAGGAGGAGTTACATGCGGAAATGACAGTAGTTGATACACTTCGTCAGCGACAACGATAAAGCCATACTTAACACTAAGTTCGACAAGACGTTTACGCTTTTCAATTGAGAGGGTACGTCCTGTTGGGTTGTGGCACGTCGGGATCGTATAGAGCATCTTAGGTACGATACCACGTTTAAGAAGACGCTCAAGTTCGTCAATGTCAAGACCATCCTCGTCCATGCGAATTTGACGGACGTTAATTTTAAAGTCTTTCATGATGCTGAGCGCCAGGAAGTATGAAGGTTCCTCCATGAACACGAGGTCACCTGACTGGAGGAATAATGAGCAAATGAGCGCAAGACCGCCTGTTACACCATTGGTAACAAAAATCTTTTCTGGGTCTACGTCATGCTGATAGCCCTTAGTAAGAAACTGGGCTAGCGCTTTGCGGAACTTTGGGTAGCCTTTGATCACGCCGTACTGTAGAAACATGGGATCTGTCTCGGCAAACTTGATCGTGGCAGCCTCGCGGATCTTGTCCAGCGGTAGCATGGCTGGGGCAGGTTGACCAACCTTGAAATTGATCATCTCATCCGCCTTGGGCACGTCATATTGGCCATAGTCACCCATAATTTATCGTACGGTAATTTGAAAGAAAGTGGCTTTGTGAGTGGCCATGCGAGAAACTTAACTGATCTACAAAGCTTAAGTAAACTTTTGAAAATAGATTTTCTATAAGATTTTAGAGTAATTCCGCTCTGAACATAATTAATTAAACATTAAGCAAAAGATTAATTAATCGGCCATAACTTTATATCTGCGTACAACATCATGTTTGGTGTATTTATGACAGCTTAAACTCGGTGGGTGCTTCTGCCTCTGCCGATTGCAATAAAGCGCTGTATGCTGTCAATAAATTTTGGTGTTGTGCGTGACCAATGCCACCATTTGCGCAAAGAAACGTTGACGGACTTGCGAACTTGTGTCATTCACGAAACATTTTGGATGACATTTGGTCCAGCATTGACTCGATTGAATGAATTCTATGATGATAAACTTTTTGGTAGTTTTTCAAGTGTAAATTCGCAGCATCGACACAATTTCCTGTTGACATATAGGGCACGTTGGGCACTCCGTCGTGCAGTTAAGGCGATAAGTCTCGGCATCTTGCTCACAAAAACATAAGTGCCCGCAAGGCACGATAGCTGTCACAGCTTGTTGGTCTTTGCATACCACGCACTCCGACTTTTCTAAAATAACAGCACATTTCAACGCGTGAACATTGCGGTCCACTTCTGCAAGCAGACTGCGCGTAGTCTGCTCCAATAAGCGCTTTTGATCAGTAATTAGTGCCATCTTGTCGTTCATATGCTCACACAGTTGCTCGTATCGCGACTTCACGGAATTATCCTGCTCAACACGAGACTTTTCAAATGCCGAGCGTTTTTCTGCATCGCGTAGTTGTGCGCTTAGTCGCTCCGCTTCCGTCTCTGCAGCGTCCAACTTTGTGAGAGAATCGTTAAGCTGGTCAAGAAATTCTTCCTCACGCTGCTTCCATTTCCGACGAAGTTGCCGTTCGCCTTGCAATCGACGCTGCCATTCAGTCTTAATTTCTGCATTGCGTTTTTTAAAATGTTCGAGCTCACTCATCAGCGAAACGATGGAAAGGGGATCATCATCACTACCCGTGTTATCCTCATCATCATCGTAACCAGTGCCACAATGTTTACTTAACCCACGAGAGCTATGCGACGATAGCTGAACAGCTGCAGACTCGCATTGATCACCAACATTTGCATTAAATTCCGCAGTAGAATGATCTTGAGCAATCTTTCTCGAACTTGATGAGGGCATCATTTTAGTCTTCACTGCTATCAGATCCGAATTTTGTTCGTTATTATCAATTTGATGTTTCACTGCGACATCATTGGATCTGTTTAAAGTCCGTTCTTGTCGGCGTTGGGCCTTTATCCTTCCCTTCTGCTCGGCAGCCAATGGAGGCCGAGTTATTCTCTTGGCCTTACACTCAGGTGGACCAGCCCAATGGCTTACATTACGCACTTCACACACCCAGCAATTTTGTCCTCGGCTTGGCACCATCCATCTTGCCGCAAACGCCTCAGTGGGATCGACATTAATGTAGCCGGTATGTTGCTCGATATCCTCGCCACCTGGATTCGTCACTACGGCCATCATCGCTTCTAAATCGATCTTGCAATCCTTCACTGTAACTTTTGGGGTATATACCTTCATCGGCGCTTTAAAAAGCATATTTTCCGAGGCATTCTTGCCGATGATGCGAAGGTTTGCTGCCTCATTTGATCCCACACCGGGAAGCTTATTCGAATAGTAGAAGATACCTTCGCTCGACACGGCAACCACAGTTTTTCCATCGTCACTTGCTGCGAGTGATTCGAGCATGATATTGGATCGGCGCGACTTGCTGCTTCCTCCACCACCTAGTTTTTCTAGTTCAAAAACCTGGCGGGGCAATCGTTCGCAAGAGCGAGAAGTTAGGCTTAACGAATCTGGAAGGCAGAATCGATAAGCCTCACCCAGTAGCGAAATACCATACACGTATTGTCCATGAATGGCGACGACATCTGTGGTATTTTGAATAATAAAGTGAGTATTGACAGCATGAACTCCTCCAAGGAAGCTTGTATTGTGCTCTAGAGCTACTGTGTCGTCAGAGACTTTTTCACTTGAGCTATAAGATGCCTTGTTGAACTCCATCGGCCACAATCTAAGGTTCTTGTCCCGACAGGATGTCGCAACCGCATAAAATCCAGGCGACACACTAGATGGAAGAAACACCGCCATCATAGCTGTGTTACCTCCAGTCACAAATGTTTGCAAGTATTCCCACGTAGGATTTTGCTGAGATTGTGCCGGCTCAACAAACCGCCATAGATTTAGATTGCCAACACCAAGCCCGGTTAGCAGATAGTATGCAGATCTATGAAAAAGCGAGCAAAGGCGATCAGTTCAAGAAGCGACAATATCAAAAGTGGAGCAAGTTCTGCATACCTAATAGATTTTCTTTCTTGATCCTGCAGTAACGGATCATTGGGTCGTGTGTAGGTTGTCACATCTGCAAAGCCCTGTAAATAGCGATATAACTCGAATCAAAAGTTTATCACGCACACGTAAAGGCAAATCACTTACCCGAAGTTTTGCATTCGAGCAAAAATGCTTTTTGAACTGCTGAAAATCTTCGTCATCGCTGTCTAAGAAAACAAGCAACAGTAAGTATGGACGCGAAAAAATTAAGTTACGGTCTCAAAGCAAATCACCTTTTTCATTTCGATAATGGTCGAGGTTTATACTCATAACAACGCGCTTCCGTTGTCGATCGCCAGCAAATATATAGCGACCATCAGTAGAGATTTTAACACGCATGTGCACGTTACCAGAGCCCTGTGACGACTGCTCGTCAAGATGGCCTAACAGATACCCATGACGGTCACTCGGAATACTGCTATCCATTTCATAAAGCCGTATAGAACCATCCATGAAACCAACGACAACAATTTCGCCGTCTGGAGTCACGTCCACCGCTGTAGCGACACTTTCGGTTGAGAAACAGATCGATCGTTGAGCTACAACTTGGCGGCTTGAGGGAAATAACTTACGCACAGGCGGTGATGGAGTTGTCACAGTGGCAACAATTGAAGCAGATGAAGCATCTGCATTACATAGAGTCGATAGCGTTGATGAAGCACTGATAGACGTAGAAATTTGATTATTTGGTGCGTTCGATGGGGCAGTGGAAACTGCAGTAGGAATTGCAGTCCGTTGCACACTCGTGATTTCCGTGTTTGTCAAACTAACCATAATGGGGCCACTTCGAGGCTCATTTACTTGCATTAATTCTTCTCTAGCTTGTGGACTGCTGATAGCATTGGCTGTTGACTTGTTGAATTTGGCCTGAATTGACTGAAACGGTGACTTGGTAGATGCCAACGCTTTGGAGGCCTTAGCTACAGGTGCGACTTCCAACTGAGAAGATAGCAGTAGCGGATGTCCATTTATCCTTGTTGACGAGGCAGTTGCATCGCCAGCCATTGCGTTGTCATCAAATACTAAAGGTCTCTTGGGCGAAGCTGAGGCTCTATGTCTGAGTGGACTTGTAAGAAACTCGGTCCGTCTTAGCGGACTTGCCGTGTGTACACTGCGTGTCGGTCTCGCAGGACTGGCAGTAACCGAGCTCCTCGGTGGACGCATTGGACTTGACAAATGCAGCGCTTTCACGGTTGATGCTCGTGCTGGACTTGCCTTTGGTGGTGTTGGGCTCTTGAAGTTAAGCGAGTGGTTCTGACGCCGTGTAGGGCTCGTAAAACTTGGTCCAGTACCCCGTCGAGAAGGAGACAGGATGCTTGCTGCGACAGCGCTTTTGGCTGCCGTGTCGCTATGTGGTGGTGACGACTTCTTGCGCTTAGCAGCGCGTTCGACCTCATCTGCATTATTAATTAATAAATCATCTTCCTGCTGCCGTTTCCTCTTGAAGGCCTCCAAGATCTGCTGCGCACGATTTTTGGTGCTGTTGCGAGAGGCTGCAACATTTTTCATGATCATCTTTTCCATGTTCATGCGGTTAAGCCGCGCTTGGTCGCTGCTTCGTGGTGCTGTCTTCTTAGTATCTAGCATAGCGGGTACCGTCGAATGCGGAGTAATATTAGAAGCGCGATTATCGTGCGCCATGTTGTCAGTAATCAACGGCACGCTTCGCGCTTAATCTGAATGAGCTATCATTGGTAGAAAGTCGAAATTCAAGCAAAAATCAAATGTATAGCTAAATTCCCAAAATGTTGTCACTAGTGGTGCTATTGGTGACGATAGCCTTTGGGCTGTTGGATGGATCAAAGAGCGAGGAGACATCGTTTTTAGATTTCTCCGTACCGAATCTACAAGGACATGAAGTATCTATGCGAGAATTTCATGCGTTTCCGGTCATCCTTGTCGTCAACGTAGCTAGTCAATGTGGATACACTGACAAGAACTATCGCGAGTTGCAGGTATCGTACATTTTTGGCTTATACATTGAGCCATTATCTGACCGAAACGATTGCGTTTTGTGTGGCAACGTAAGGAATTGTACGAGAAATATCATGACGAAGGATTTATGGTGCTAGGCTTCCCGTGCAACCAATTTGGTGGTCAAGAGCCTGGAACAGCAGATGACATTCTAAAGTTCACCCAGGAAAAATACCACGTGACTTTTCCGCTGTTCAGTAAGGTTTGTTATAGGTCAGATTGTGTGATGATAAAGGGTTTATATTCTCCATTTGTTGATATTTAGGTCGACGTTAATGGCGAAAATGCCCATCCGTTGTTTACGTATCTAAAAAAGCAATTAGACGGATACATCACGAATGATATCAAGTGGAACTTCACCAAATTTTTGATTGTAAACCACGAGCCGTTCATGCGGTACGGAACCTCGACGTCACCATTGGAAATCGAAAGCGACATTATTCAGGCACTGCAAAAAAGCCGACTCGTCGATGATTCTGACGATGGCGGAGCGGCGGATGGCGACTATGGTGACACTCGCGATGAGTTGTAAGGCATCATAAAAACGGATTTGAATAATTTGGGTAATTTGGTTTTTTTACGTTCGCAAATGCAAACTCCGAAATTAAGTTTACATTTTTCTTACAACTTACCGACTTGAACTGGCTCGAGATTTCTAACATCAAAATTGCTCTGCCAAATTGAATTTTGTTTCTGGCTTAAATCGATTTCGTACTCGGATCACTCACGTCTTTGCCTCACAGTATTGTTTACGATTCTGTGCATGTTAAATGTAACGTACATCATTGCGTTCCACAGCAATGAGCGACTTTAAAGGATTATATTCGAGGAGGGATATCATTATCGGTAATGAAGGTGATTGAAGTTTGTGCAGGAGAAAATCGTGACTCTAGAAGTCTGAATATGATGCTCTCTATTTGACCAACCTCAACTTCAGAGGCTCTCAATTTGGTATCTCTGCGGTCGCTAGTAAACCCATCATCAGTGTATCTAAGAGTTACAAAAGGAGCGCAGCAACTTTATTGCACCTAGTAGCACCAGTCAATTGAGTCTGTATAACACTGATCCACTTATAAGGATGACATGTGATTGTTTTGCATCTGTCCCCAGGACAGCAAGACGCGTTTATAATCGTCGATTTCGATATTAAAATAATTGGATGTCCTGGGCCCAGAAGTGCTTACTCTAGACTATTGGTGATCGATTACAAGCCGCTGGTGAAGCATCAATAGAATACGAACAATTTTTGTGAAGTTCCAAGTTCATTTACCACATATCGTAATATCCCTGCGTCAGCTGAAAATGGACTCACTATCGGGCCTGCTCCAGATTGAGTAATCACGTGGTGTTAACGGTCTTAAAAGCGATCAAATATTAAATTCCCCAACATGCATCTTTACAGAATATCTGAGAACTGCAAGTTGGAGAATCAGGCTATGACCTAATTGAGTATGACTCAATGAATGTCACAATGTAGCGGTACTGCTGAGTCAGATGTGACGCGCCGACGACGTAGAGCAGTGAAGCTTCAAAGGTAAAATGATTGTGAATTATTCACTCGTGATAGGTGTGACCGAGGTATCCTAGGAGGCTCTATGCCTATATTCACTACCTCATGCGGCTGCACTTATTGAAGAGAAGGTATTAATCTTTGGAATGCTAAGAAATAGCAAGACGGTGAATCACTGAAACTGCAGCGGGGCTGTCGTAGCTTAGCGCTTGAGGAAGCCTACTTTAGGTCACCGGCCTTTCGTTCTTTACAAACACCAAGTATGAGTTAGCGAATCGCAATCCGCTTACTCCAAGAGTAATTATTGCCTTCCCGAGGTTAATTGACTCTTCGATTTAAAATCAAAAACTGATTTCTATTTTTATATTTGCGGCAAAACCGCCTAATTTTTAGAGTATAGATTTTCCTAAATTAATATAGTAAAATCTAAACACATGCATAACTATTGGCTACCTAGCCACATATCGCATTCTTGTTTGGGTGCAGTCACACCATGCGCATCTCGTGTGACACAAACCCCTGTTACCAGGGCACGTGTAACGCCGTTACAGAAACGGTACGGTTATGACTGAAAAAGAAGCTGAGTACAGCACCCGTCATGGATGAATCCATCATTAATGGCATGACACACGCACAAAAATCAAAAGCAGGATTAAGATAGCTTTCCAAAATGATCATACAGGTCATCTTAACAATTTATGGCGAATATCTAAACGTGGTGACACAAACTTCATCACGAGTGTAGCCCTTGATTCAGAGAAATCGCCTTTTTCCTTGGAACAAACCTTGCATCACAAATCTACACCCCTTGTGAAGGGAGCAGTGTGATGCCACTGACGCCTTCTTTGTGCGAAGCAAGAAGCGATTTTGATGAGAAAGCGCAAGTCTCTACACTCAAAGCTGACATTCTATTTCAAAATGTTACGTACAAGTGACGAGCTGTGAATATCAAAGGAAAAGCGAGGTGCAGCCACGATTCCAGTAAAAGCGCTTATATCTAGGGACGATGTGCTGCCGAATATCTCGATCATTGGCAATGTTTCCAGTGTTCCTGACTTTGTAGGTACTTATTATCTGTACTCCGGTCATGTCCTCTTAGCGTTGCTTGTTCAACATAGAGATCGTCAGACGCACCAGCAACTTGAGATTGTCGATTGACGAAGGTGGCTGTTGTTCATGCTACATCGTAGTTATGCACAATTCTATTCCGAGCATATGTTCGTCCATAGTCAGGTAGAACACAGATGGTCAAAGGTGGAGAGCCATATTAAATACTTGCGAGCAGTGTCAACTCAATGTGCTTCAACAACTTTTTTTCAAATGGAGACAATTGTTTACTTGACGCCGACAAACCACTCTTTGAATACTCCGTTAGGAAGTACCGTCTGCAGGCAGATGTCGCAATGGAAATTGGCCAAGTCCTCTGTCACAAAAGTACTGAAGAAAATGGTTCAGCCTCTTACTTTTTGCACAGGCATACTGCAGACTACACCGACATGGCATTCTCCTCACCATCTTTTAAGAATGATGTGAAATAGTGCTGGGGAGAGGCAGAACAAACGGCATGCCAGGCTGTGAGAGAAAGCCTCATGCGTGCCCCGATTTTGGTGCAAATCTGGATCGACCGTTTCCTGTCGACTATCTCACTTCAGCCGTTTGTGCTTTTTTAAAACAGATGGTTAATGGCACGGGTACAAGGACATGTTTAAGCTTTGTCAGCATAAAAACGGCATAGAAGAACCTCCTTTTTCATACTTGCAATTGAGCATGCCGCGTCAAATTCGATTTGCAGCTTCTTGGCTCCAAGCAGCTTTTGATCTATACAAACTAGACTTTCCATACAGCGACGTCGTGAACACATTTATCACATAGGGTGGCATGATGGTCATCCTCCTTTGTCGCGTATACCTTTGAGATAAGATTGGAGTCGGGTGACTCAATGTGACGGTGGATTTGCTTTCGCATCGCCCCGACTATGAACTATCGCAGATCACGATGGTGGTGTCGCCAATTGATGGGACGATATGTGCAGCATAGCATCGTGTCTTGCATAGCTTGAATTTCTGGGTATTAAGGAGACTGGGAGCTCAGATAACGCTTCCAAGAAGTATCCGCTTTGAGTTTGAAGTCGAGCGCGGTACAGATCCATTAGACTTTTTGGGGTACAAAGATACGAGCCCGAAGAGCTTTTCACTGGTCAAGCTCAGCTTGTGTAGTGGCCAGAGGCCCTTCTAGGTAGACGCCTAACGATCGAGTGATCGAGTCTTTCGCTTCAGTACTGCCGAACGGAAGCCGTTCGCGGCTGCTCAACCGCATCTCAATTTATTATCCCATTGTCATTCTGTAGTGCATCACTGACTCAGCATTAAGTGAATTTTCATAACCAGGATCTCAAGTACAAAATACCGGATGAAGCACATGATATCTCGTTGGGAGGCCACCGCGGGAGAGAAATGCTATGCATAGGTAGTCCCACATTTATTGACTTATGTGTGAGCATGTATGAAACGTGTCACCAAAATATGCTCTTCTTGCAAACAGCGGCACCTCGGCGAGCCTAGTGGTTTCAACAGAGTGTTGGCAGTGTGAGCTCAGTTTGCGATCTTCTGGATAACGCATCCGGGATACCAGAATTTGGACCGGATGAGTACGCCAACTCGCCATGCTGCTGCCAGCGGTATCGTTGCCACTAAGGGCTTAATCGAATTCTAAAAGTGATTCACCCTCATGGCTTCCCGGAGGTTTATGTGCTGGATATTGATTCGCAAAGATTCTTGCTTTATAACGAAGTTTTTATGATCGTTGCCCAAGGCGTTAGGCACCAAGTTGAAAATTTCAATCCAACAACAAATCGATAGACGGAACGCAAAAATGGCAAGGTGAATGATACCTTTCGAGGTACTTGCGTGGAGCTGGATTAGATTTTACAACTCATTGAATGCGTCTAATAACGAATTGCATGCCTCGAACAACTTTAAAATTTGTTAAAGTATCCATGGAATGTGTTGGTTATTCCACATAGTTGCTCTGCTCTTGATGAGAAATGAGCTATCGATATGATTTGAGTCGCTGAAGTTAGCCAAACACTTTGTAGCTTTATTACGATTTCATATCAAAGACTAGGTGTCATGCCTGGAGTGCCTGTCGTTTTCGAGTGTTTGATCTACAGCCAAACTACGCAGATGAACATGCGGGAGCCAAAAGCAGCTGATATAGAAGCTCCGTTGTATGAAAAGATTGCTTTTATATTGGGTGAGGCCTGCAGCTCTCCTGCCACGTGGCATTTATTTTTAGAGTATCACTACTCTGACATCGTACATAGTACCAGATTAATGTAACTCACTGCACTACCCCGTTAGCACAAGTACCTCTCAGGTTGGTTTAGGTCTGAAGAATGAAGGTATACTTTATAACCAGAGCGTGCCCCACTTCACCCTACCCCTACCAAATTCGAGAAGTGTATCCCATCGGAATTTAGACATAAAGATTTATGATGTGTGCGACACAACAGTATAGAAAACTGCAGCGGGGCTGCTGTAACTCTTTGCTTAGAGGAAGCTTACTAAGGTCACGGACCTTACGTTCTATACTAGAACCATGTAGCAGATCGCGATCTGCTATACTAAGAACCTTAATCCAAGGCAAATGCATTCTTCCGTTCAAACTTGAAAGTATATATATATTTGTTTACTTGCGGTAGAGTCGCCTGTATCTAAACCTCTATGGCTTTCTTGATTAAATAAAATCACGTAATTAATGTGCATAACTGCTGGCAGTCCCGCTATGTAGTGGCTTCTTGTTACGTTGTAGCCACACCATTTTGTGATAACATCGTCTTGTGTAATCCACACCTTAGTACATTCACACCATCTGTGATCCACACTTCCATACCAGGGTACGTTTGGCCCCGTTACTGAAACAGTAACGAATATTCGAAGAAAAGAGTAGATATTATAATGGTGTGTATCGCGTCAAGGTCTTGTCTGAAAGCATCCATGATTTCTCTGAAGCTAATAATATGTTTCAAGAATTTGATGGCCTACATATCGTATTTGCAGCGGGGTTGCCGCAGCTCTTTGCTAAAAGGAAGCTAAGCTAAGGTCACCGATCTTACGTTCTATACAAGAATGTATGAATGTAATTTGCTGCCTCCAAGAGTACGCAATAGCTTATCTTAACCAAGGCAAATAAACACTTCCGTTCAAAATTCAAACTGTATTTATTTGTTTTATTTGCAGCAGAGCCGCCCTTATCTTTAACGTTAGGTTCTCCTGATTAAATAGTTCCAGCTAATGAACATGTATAACTAACAACTGGTAGTCTCGCCACGTAATGGCTTCATGTTACGGTGTAGCCACACCATCGTGTGATTACACCGACTTGTGCAATCCACAACCATCCTGTATGAGCCACCCTTTCATTTAAGGAAATGTGTAACCCCGTTGTATACAAGCTGGCATCTTCTACGCGTCATTAATCAAATAGGCTCAGCTACGTCCTCATATTGCGAATTTAATCAGTACATAAAACCGCAAATATCATAAACGTTCCTTATTGCGGTATTGTTGAATGGTCCTGACATTTCGTCAAGGAACACAAAATGATGTTCATTTCTTTGGAAGATAGATCATGAGCTTTACTTTTTCTGCTAGGACCTTAATCGGACCAATGCAGCGCGTTCTTTTAGACTGCAGACAGGTACCTTCAATATAACGAAATGAACTTAACTGTGGACTGCGCTGTAACACGCAAACTTAATGAGCGGCAGGATTTGCGGTCTTTCCGCGCAAGCACCTCGGAATATATAGCCTGTACTGCGCGACTATTGCGCTCTATCTGACCAATGTCTAGATGCGGCCATGCTCATGTATGGTTCCAAGAACATTAGCAACATTCGACGATTGCCAATGGCAATTCATGCTGTTGAATTGTTCAGCAGTGATTTTTTTAATGTTGACCACCCAATAAACTTGTTGCGAGTGAGAAAGATACCGCATATCAATTATGAAATTTTATTTTAACTGATTTCAAGCTTTTTAGGGTAAATTCTACAGAAGCAGATATATACCGAATAAAAAAGTGTCTATATTACAATCATGTTCTTGTTTTATAAGTTAAATTAACGGAACATTCTTAAATTGCGACATCGCTCAAATTGTCTGATTTAAAGCGATCATTTCTCCTCGTAGCCGTCTTGGTCCCAGTCATATTTGACGAATCTCCCTGTTTTGCACAACGCGGAAAAAGGATTTGCACATACGATATTGCGAGCGCCGAAGAAGATACTAACTTTGGCAGATAATGCAATTTCGAAGCGTAATTGACCGTCTCAGCAAATTGTCAGGTCACGACCAACTCAGAGCTAAGACTCGATCTCATGCTTGAAGAAACTCGTCTCAGGTGGTCATTTGCTGATTTAAGGCGTTCGAGATCGTACGTCAACCGTGCAATCAGAACCAATCGACCATGTGCACAATGACCCACAATTTTTTTAATGGTATTTGGACGGATCAGACGTGTGATCAGAGAGCGAGTCTTGTGCTGGCACTCGGTGGATACCGTGTTAAGCGTTTTTCAAAAACGTCGCGCGTTTATCACGAAAGAAAAGTATCGAGACCAGTGAATGGGGATACTCGATTGGATGTGGATGCATGCGACTATTATAAGCTGCTCCGGATGAATTTTGATTCAATTATAGATTCCATTTCGTTGATAATCGAACTTTAAGGGAAATACTGAGCCGTATAGTAATAATTAATGACTCACTTTTTCCAAATTCGCATTCAAGATTTGATTTACAACCTCACGACCGGCTTGGCGATCGACACGATGCGCAACTGCCATGAGCTGTATAGTTCAACAACTGAGTCAGCCAATATGGCGGTGGGTTCTACAATGGTGATTGCTTGGTAAAACTAATACTTCGGTGGTCTATTGTACCGGAGTAATTGTACTCAAAAGTGAATGCGACAGCAAGCTGTAAACCTGAAGCACATAAGGGCAAGTTCACATATCCAGTATACATCGCTAAAAATTGAATTCGTTTTTATTGTCCACATAACGTAGTCCTGTCTTTTCCTCAAAGTTCAATTCCCGCATAGAAACTGTACGGGAACAGGGTGATAGATTTTCGCCCATCTCCGCTGCAACTGTGTTACTGACGAAGGCGAACTCGTTCGCTGATCCTTGAGCCCGGCAAAAAGAGCGAAACGCATATCTCAAGCGTCAAATTGAGCAGAAAAAATCTACAAAGTTGATACTGCATCAGATTGGCGCCTTTAAAATTGATAGATGGCGCACGGTAGAAGGATATGAGTATGGATGTCGTCGGGAGGCTGCATCGGGTCTTTGAAGTTGTACGCACGAGCACACGAGCCGTTGACTTATAAGCAAAAGATGTGAATAAAGTGCCGGAGAATCAATGCTGATGGGACAAGAAAGCGGCTTCTTACAACTAGGATAGCTGATGAATCGATTATTTTGGATACTCCTACAAATCGCACGTATGAAACCAACTTTTTGACATGTGTTCTCACTCTAGATGAAATCGCCAGAGTGGAATTCTTTGGCGATGATTGCAAATCCAAATACAGCTCTAATGCTGCGATCTATTATTATTCTTTGGAAGCTGACAGTCAAGTGTGTTTGTTATTTTCTTGCAAAACCTGCTCCGATGTAAAGTTCCAATCCTAATTTGCTCTTAGTGAAATCGCAAAGGTGGTATATTGTCTCAAGAATCAGTATAGCCTGGAAAGATTCAGCACAGCGATAGGTTCAAGTTATTAGCTCCGCTAAACAAAAAGTTGGGCTGATCTGCAGTATAATTGTTTAGCGATTGCCCCGTTTTCGTTGTATGATGAGTTTAAATCTTTGTTTATTTTAATACAAAGATTGAACGTTTCCACTTCGAAAGACGAATACTCGAAATACTTGTTAAATGTCAAGATCTTAAAATTGCTAACAGCTTCAATCCCTCAAAAACAAAAAAATGCGACCCATGCTGTTCGGATTTCGTCCGACAATCAACCTTGAAGATTACAGTAATTGTCAGTTTTGTGTTGTATCCTGTATCATCACAACACAGAAAAGCGCACTTGACAAAGTGCGCTTTTTCAAGAGCTTATACATTAAATTCCAAGCACCATCGGAACACCATCACTGGATACCTCCTCATTCTTCAATTTCCCTCCAGTCAAGCATTCCTGTACCCATGGTTTCGGTCATCTCCACACTCGTTGTTGCCTCGACCGCAGTCTTTGTCTCAATTGCAAGTCCTTGCAACAGTCTGACGTATCCTCAGGCCGAGGGCGAATATTTTAAACCTTCGGACGCATCGGGCTTAGTCAATACAACGGTATTTTGGCGCCGTGGCCCTTGTCCCGCTCTCAACTCGCTTGCCAACTTCGGCTACATCGAGCGAAATGGGCAAAACATAACTAAGACATCCGTTGATGAGGCTATCAAAAAGCACTTTTCGGTGGCTGATGAAGTCCGTGCTCAGCTGATTTCAAGATTGCCTGATACTTTTGCACTGAATCTTTTGTCGGCCTCAGGGCACGATATCTCACTTTCACGCCCCCCGAGCTATTCAGGCGTCGACCCAGCCAAAGTCGACAAAAAGCTAGTCGAAAACCTCGTATCGCGAGCCAAAGATGGATTTTTAGATGCTGAAGCGGTCTGGAGCACGTACAAGGCTCGGATCACTACTTATCGAAGCGATTCCCGTTTCAATGTCACTGAAGAACAATTAAATCAGGGATCCCGCGAAGGATCGGTCCTCATACTGATTTTGGGTGGAAATCGCAATGACCGCATTTCAATTGAGTACGCCCGCTCCTTTCTCATCGACGAGAAATTTCCAAACGACTGGAATTCCTCTTATACTCCGGTGTCAATTGCGCAAGTAAGGACAATGTTCGCTCAGATCCGCCCCAATTTAGTGTTCCCCTGAGTGAATAGTAGGCATCGTTGAGGGATCGATGTTCGAACTCTTCACGGTGTGGTGTTAGACAGTCAAACGTATTCAATAAAGTAGCTGTCAACCAAACATTTGACGAGAATTTGTAGTCGAAGTTTCTAATGTGTCTATGCCATTTTTACAAACCTTTTGAATTGTCAATTCCACAGAACTCCTAAAATCTTATCTCCCTGTATTGTTGCGACGTATCACTGGAAATTCGTAATGCATCAGCATAAAACCCAGTCACCGCGTGCTTCCCATTTCTGATTGAATACACTTGAGCTTCCGATGTTGTACTTGCATCAAGATTGAAAAATTACAGCTTTTTTAGCCAAGCTTCATCACGTTATTTGATCAACTTAATGACTGATACGAGAAGGTTAAAACTCGATTACAGTGTCCCACCATTCTCATCCTGAAGGTGAGGGCCACATGTAGTTCCGGAGCTAGTGGCCGCGCTAATCACTGTGCTGGATCTTGTTAGCTATATACTGCCGCTTCAGTGTAGATTCGGATCATTCAAATCTTAACATGGGAGCAGATTTTGTTATGCTGCCGAAAGCTCAAGACCGAGGAGAAAATAAACGAACTTATCTGTCAGCTCTCAAAAAATGAAAAACGTCATATTCGAGCTGTATTTGTCTGCAATCATAAGAGATCTATTCACGCGGAAACCATTTATTCTAATCAAAGTGAGCGGACATATCAAGATGTTTTGGTTTCGAATGTGCGATTTGTAGATTTATCCAAAAAAAACAATTCGTCAGCGGAAGAAACTGTTTTTTGTCTTATTGGTGGGGATTCCAGTACTTTTCCCACCTCTTCTACACAAAAGCCGAACTAAAATCCAGGATATTTGCTCGTGTACCAAAGCTCATAACCTAAAGGTCGGGACGCAGCCTTCGGACGGTATCCATACTCTCATCTATCTACTTTATTCACCAATATCTTAAATGAGCCATTTTTTTTTAGCTGTTTCCTGTACGATTTGACGCTTGGGTAACGTACTTCGCTCTTTCTATCGAATTTGAGGGATCAGCGAATGAAATCATGTTCGTCAGTGTAAAAGTTAGTAAACTTGGGCGAAGATCTATCATCCTGTTGCGGACACAGTTTGTGTGCGAAACTTGAACAGTGAGAGAGAAGATTGACTAAATTTAGTGGACAGGATTAAGGAATTAAAATCTTTTTAAGATGTGCTTTTTGGGTGTGAACTGTGCCCTAGTGTGCTACCACATTCACGTGAGTACAATTACTATGGTACTGCGGACCGTGTTAAAGTTACCCGCCGCCGAATTGTGGAACTGGGAGGTTGCGGATCGTGTCGATCAATCTTGAATGCGAATTTCGAAAAGTGTATTGATCTCAACGTATTGTCGTACTGCTATATATTTCGCATAAAGAATGCTCGATTATCAATGGTAAATAAAATCTATGCAATCTGTAAACGAAAAATGTATACATTCGGAGCAGTCTTCGTTAAAGAGACCCGTAAAGCTGCGAAGCAATTTATGAGGTTCTCATAAGATTCGAGTAGTAGGCATCTTCATCCACTCGTCTGAACATATTTCCATCATGAGTAACGCGTGTCGCTTTTGAAACATGGTCGCAGCCGTATCCACCGAATACCAGCACAGGACTCGCCCCTTGATACAAACGCTTGAAACTTTCAAATATAATCAGTATTTGGATCACAATGGTGTGAAATACACCGTTTATTTTCTTCTCAAACGCCTCTAAAAATGTTCAAACACCACTTTGGGAGGGATTTGACAAGCATCAAATCGAGTCTTAGCTCAAGTGACAAACAAGAGTCGGAAACAATCAATATCGCTTCAGATGGCACTGTATACCAGAATGTGTATTCTTGCGGCGTCTGCAGTATCATATGTCAATCTCATTTAAGCGTTGTGCGAAGCTTTTTAATATTGATCGAAAGAATATGCAAAATCTTCCAAACTCGCATGGGTGACACTTTGTGGTAGTGTCACAAAATCACCAGGCCTGTCAAAAATGTGGACCGGTTTGTTTGATGCAAACTCAACGAGGAGCAGGATCTTGCTCGGGTACAGGGGTCAATCCGCGCATGTGCTCTAAACAGAATCCATCTCTTTAATTGTTTTCCGTCTGACTATCTGGCTGTAAATATATAGCTGTGGATTTTTTAAACATGGTTCCAAGAACATTAGTACAGTTTGACACTTGCCACTGGCAAAATATGCCGGTGAAACCTTTGTCAAGGAGTTGCTTTGCTGTAGCTCCCCGGAAACGGTATTCCTGACAGCAGTGAGATGAGACAATTCGCTCGAACAGTCGAAAACATCACTAGCGTCGAACGCTGCTTAGTCTTAGACTTGGATGCAAGGTATGACATTATCCTTGTTATGGAATGGTTGGGCTATAGATTGACTGGACGTCAAAGTTTCGCGCTACGCTCACGTCTCCTGGTTGAGCTTTGATGAGTCATGAGCCCACTTCTGCTAGGAAGCAGAAGCGCTATTGGCGCGGGCACTGAACCGGGACGGTCACTGTGCTGGATATCGGAGATCCGAGTTGTCAGACACCAAAGTGTATTGTCAAGAGTCCCGAGCCTGGCTCGCGGGCTGAATTTGGAGTGGTACGTAGCGCACTGAGCGCATCTCAAGTATTGGAGCAGTCGCTGCATGCCAAGAAGGACATGGTCAGCCAAGGGCCGAGGCATCAAGGGCGAGGCCCTTGTGATGCACGTTGAGTGGCATGTAACCCTCTGAGTACTGCTCACGTTACGAAGCAGTTGCTGCGTGCCAAGAATGGCGAGGTCAAACGAGGTCCGAGGCATTTAAGGCAAGGCCCTTCTAATGAGCGTGGAGTAGCGCGTTACCCACTGGACGAAGATTGCAATACTAGCAGCTCTTCGTCGGATGTTGCTGATAACATCAAGGCTCCGATGGAGCAGGGAGTGGGGACACCGGACGACGCCGAGTGCGTGTTC